CATACACATGAAATTATTTAGAAAAAGAAACATACTATTTAGCAGAAACTCTATAAGAATTTTATTTGTAGATAAAAGAGCTCTTTTAAGAGATGTAAACTAATAAGAGATATAGAAATAATAAAGGATCGTAGACTTGATTTGATCTCTCCAGATTCTAAAAATGTCTGACAATGGAAATAATATCCTCCTAGTCCCTCTGCTATTCTGATCTCCTACAGCAATGGCTGCATGCTTGTGCAACCATAGGCAAATTAATTAGGCCTTCTGTGCATCAGTTTCTTCACCCTGAAGTTGTGATGAGGATTAAACATGCTGATACATGTAAAGCTTAGACCTGAGTCTAGCATTTAGTATTTACTCAATGAATGTTAGTTATTTTTATTATTTGAGCCATTAGCATGTTAAGGAGAACGTTAAGCTGGATGAGGCTGTAGAGGCCATCTGCGAAACATTCATGCAGAAATAGACAGGATTTCATTTTATTTTTATTTATTTTTATTTTATTTTTATTTATTTATGATAGTCACAGAGAGAGAGAGAGAGAGAGAGAGAGAGAGGCAGAGACACAGGCAGAGGGAGAAGCAGGCTCCATGCACCAGGAGCCCGACGTGGGACTCGATCCCGGGTCTCCAGGATCGCGCCCTGGGCCAAAGGCAGACGCCAAACCGCTGCGCCACCCAGGGATCCCCTAGACAGGATTTCAATAGGCAGAGAAAATATGAGGAAAAAAATCCAGGCATTGTGAACTAAAGTGGAAAGGTAAGGTAACAACCAAGTATGGTGAACAGATCTATTCGGTAGAAACTGAGTGGCATGTGTAGGAGAGGAAAGGAAAATGAGACTGACGACTAAATTGGGAGTACATAATGAGGTGTACAGAATTCATTCTTCTCTCTTCTGCCAGTTTTAACCTGTAACCCTCTGCCAATCTGGTTTCCCCTCTATAAAATCTCTTTTCTCCATGGTCTTCTAATACAATGCTTCTGAGGCACTTCCGTGGCTCAGTCAGTTAAGTGTCTGCCTTTGGTTCAAGTCATGATACCAGAGTCCTACGACTGAGCCTCCCCTCATCAGGCTCCCTGTGGGGAGCCTGCTTCTCTCCCTCTGCCTGCTGCTCTCCCTGCTTGTGCTCTCTCTCTCTGTCAAATAAATAAATAAATAAATAAATAAATAAATAAATAAATAAATAAATAACAATAATAATAATAATACAGTGCTTCTAAAATGGGAAAGTGCAGACCAATGACTTAGGGTCCCTCCTATATGGCAGATTCTGATATGGCAGGTCTGGAGTGGTGCCTGAGATCCTACACTTCTAACAGGCTACAAGCTACCAGGAGCCTGCTGCTGTTCATCCATGGGCCATACTTTGAGCACCAAGGATATAATACAGTGGCCTCTTATTCTCATCCTTAATCCTCCTGCTAGTGTTTGGCCTTGCTGATCTTCCTGAAGCTCTCATCATTGGCTTCTATTGTGAATCTTATGGGATTGCTTGAAGCTGAAAATAAAAGCTAGAAACCTATTCTGTAAAACTTCAATTCATATTGACTTGTCTCGAGCACAGCTTTCATCATGTAAAACAAGGTTGCCATTGGTAAAAATAGCTTTATATATTAGTTATAGCTACAAGCTCAAAGCCAGTCTTTAGATGTATAATGTCCAAGCAACTGTTAGCACATCAATCTCTTTGGTCTTTTATTTATTTATTTTTAATATTTTACTTATTTGAGACACAGAGAGAGAGAGAACAAGCAGGGGGAGCTGCAGAGGAAGAGGGAGAAGCATGCTCCCCACTGAGCAAAGAGCCTGATCCCAGGACCTCAGGATCACCACCTGAGCAAAGGCAGACGTTTAACCAACTGAGACACCCAGGTGCTCCTCCTTTGGTCTTTTAAATACAAATATCACAAAACATCTTTTAATGAAAGACAGACATACATCTTTATGAAAGACGTCTATTGCCCATTTGCCCATCTCATGATGTATCTGGCTTCTCCAGAAAATAAATCTCCCCTGAAATCCCCACCCATACACATGGGCAGTGGCTACAAATGGCAGTGGTGCAGAGGTATGCCCCTGTCCAAAACTGGATTATCTTGAGTCTTTCCCAGGATTTTACACAGCACTTGAAAAAAAAAAAGAAAAAAGAAAAAAGCAAGTCAGTCTCTCATTGTCTCTACAGAACAGAAATCAAGAGCAGGTAAATTCAAGAGCCATTAGGAACCACACTCTGTCACATGGATGGAAGAGCAGAAAACAGCAGTCAATTGTACGAAAAAAAACTGAGAAAGGCACCAGGAGGGCACCATATGCTGGCATGCTGACAACCTCGCACATCTCCATATAACCCGATAGGCAAGGCTAGGTCACAGTCTGACCCAAGTCTTGGCAGGATGCCCTGTGATTTCCTCTGCCCTAAGGGAAGATAAGCAGACTGGTGGGGAAGAGCTGAGAAGCGGTTTCTCCCATTATCTTATCAGAAGGCCATTTCTCATCTATCTCCCTAGTTTCAGTTGAACACAAGACTTTCCACCTCACTTCCACTTAGAGAAAGCTACAGCGGAGTGACTCACTGCTCACACCATGTATCATCTGGCCTCTTCAGTTTGGTGTTGTTCATGGAATAGGGGACAGGGAACTGACACCATAATGACTTGCTTTTCCTGTCTTTATAAGTAATTAGCTGTCTGAATCCATTTGGGCATGTTTATTCTTTACCAGGCAAATCCATGGAAGTATGGCAAGCCGTCCTAACAACCATATTAGAATTACTTGTGACCCTATTATTAACCACCACCCTGTTGCCTTGGAAATGCTTAACCCATTTGACAAAGTGAAGAAAGGTAAGAGATGGCAAGAGTTCACTTTCTGAATTCCCTTCAGTGCTCTAGCTCCTGATTCCAGTCTCTTCCAGGAATGTATCAAGACCTTGAATTCTATGATACCGTGGTATTTCTCCAGTAAACTTCCCCAGATTTTTTCTTCCCCTTAAGAAAGCCCAGGATGTATTTTTGACCTTTACCCTCAAAAGGTCATATAATACACACATAGATGTGTTGCATTGCATTTAAAAATATTATCAGTAATCAGAACTCCAACACAAGAGATTCAAATGTGTTTTCTCTATTTATTAAAATCCTACCTCTCATATATTAATTTCTTTCTGGCCCTTGACCTAGTATAAGTAATATGATTAGTATGCATTTACTGAAGTCCAATAAATACAAAATTTTATGAAACTGTTATTGTCCAAGTAGAACACATGATTCCTTTTCTAATTATTCTCATCATGTATCAATAATTCCATAGTACTAAATATATAAATCAACTATGCTACGTTTAATTCACCTTAGAAATATACTGATTTTCATTCATATTAATTACAACTGTAAGAGCATGATGGAATCATACATTATATTTGTGCCAAATACTTATTATCCAAAATAATGTAAGTAGGATTACAATTTGATCTACTCTTAACATCCCTTGAATTTAGCTGTGCTTAACATAGAGTAGGATCATCTAAGCCAATTACAGATGCTTCTGAATCATTAGTCATAGGTTAGGATGTTTACCAATTAGCCTTATTCTCCTATTGGGACAGCTAAGTTTTCTTTGATCAGGGTCATGGACTCTGAATCAGGTAAGTCAGGGACAGCTGGCAGAGTCTTGGACATTATGGAATTTGACCAAAATGGTGAGTAAATTGGTGAAAATTCATCATCATTACTGGAAAACAACTAAAAAGATAGACAGTGGGGCCACTAACATAATTTTGGATGGACAAAGCACAATCACATAAAGGACATGAATGCCTCCATTGCCATTTTAATGAAATATCTTTAGTAAAATGTATGGACTGTAATTGATACATCTGGCTTTATGTGGTACTCGTGAGAATCAAGTAGTTCATGACATAGTGATAACCAGGCACAATTTATAATAGACATTTATAAAAAGTCCAAGTTTTTTTGAAAATAAATTTTACTTGTCAATGTTAAACACTAGACATCTAGTCACTCTCTTAAAATGATTTACTAGAGTTACCACAGTATAACTTAAGAGAATACCTACATTTATAAAAAAAAAAAAAGTTTTATGGTGATAAGTGAATAACAGTAATCATACGTTTATAATAAAAATGCATCACAGTCATGAAAAATTAAGTTCTCCATCAACTCATAATTTATATTTCAAAATATCTCTAACACACATTCACACAACATCATCTCCTGGGTTAGTAACCTTCCCTAGCCACCCTTGGTAACTATTGCCACAAATCTCTATAACTATCTATAACAAATTTTTTCTGAAGGTTTCTTTTTTCCGACAGCATAACTCTCCATATATTAAGGTGAGCGCCTCACGTCAAAGGTGTTTCTGTGTGTTCACGCACGCATTTAATTTTAACAGGCCTATCTAAGACGCGGAGGGCCCGAAGCAAGCGCGGTCTGCAAGGAGAAGACCCGCGGCGTCCCGAGCTCTGCACTTTAAGGAGGGAGGCAGGAGTTACCTAACGAGTACCCAGAAGAAAAAGGCTACAAGTGAGAGCAAAGCGAAGCCTGACGGACGCGGGCGCGTTCCCGGTGCGGTAGCCAGCGAGGCACCCAGGCACCCCCTCCTCCCCGGGGGGCAGGCCTTGGGGCAGCCTCGCTCGCTCTCCAGGCCAGAGGCCCGGGAGGCGGGGCACCGGCGGGCGGCGGCGCGGGCGGCGGCGCGGGCGGCGGCGCGGGCGGCGGCGCGGGCGGCGGCGCGGGCGGCGGCGCGGGCGGCGGCGCGGGCGGCGGCGCGGGCGGCGGCGGGCGGCGGCGCGGGCGCGGGCGCGACCCGACCCGACCCGGGCCCCCGGCGCCCGCCCGCTCCCGGCCTCCTGCCTCTCGCGCTCGGAGGGCTCCCGCTCCGCGTACGACCGCAGCGTGCAAGTCCGCGGAGAAACTGCAGTTGGGAGACCTCTCTGAGGAAAGTTTCCGGGACCCGCGGCGGGGCGGCCTTACCAGCGGAACCACCGGCCAGGATCTGGCGAGAAGCCTCTCTCGCGAAGCCAGCGTTGGGCTGGGCGGACATCTTCGAAAGCCCGGCGCCGCGGAGCGGGCGAGCTCGCCGGCCTGCAAGAGCTGCTGCTGGTCCTGGCGCCGGCGGCTCCTGGGGAGGCGGCAGCCCGGCGGCCGCTCGGAGGTGGCGGCTCAGGGCGCAGACTCACAGTGCGTGATCTCCGGCGGGTGCGAACCTGCCCGCTGCACCCCTTCAGGGGCTTTCTGTCGCCCCCGCTAGGCCCCCTGGGCTCCAAGACGGGCGGTGGCGGAGAAAGGCCTCGCGGACGGGGTCGGTTTGGCCGCCCGCGGTGGTAGGGCTTGGTCTCCTAGGTTGGCGCCCAAGCGCTTCCCTATCGGGAGCCTCCTGCAGTTCGCCAGGCCGCACGCGCTGCCGCTGATAACGCTCGTGAAGCGGCGCCCCTGGCCTAGCGGCGGGGCTGGGGCGACCCTTGCCCTCCTCGGCAGGCCAGCGCTCCGGGAGGCCCTAAAGAACGGATGGATCCGTTCAGGTGGATCCTGAAATTGCGGGTTGTAGAAGCCAAGCCAAAGCGAGGCCCAGTTACGATTATCTTTCAATTAAGTTAATGTAGTACTTTACGAAGACATGGTTTGGGCTTAAGAGAATGTATCATACCTCATCGACTTGAGTTTTATTTACTGAAAAAACGAAAGAAGAGGCCTTGTTACAAAAAAGTCTCTTCAGTACCCGACGTTAGTAGTGCTTCTCCACGTATGATCTTAGGATCCAGCAACGTCAGCGTAATGTGAGAGTTCCTAAGAAAGGCAAATTCGTGGCCCCACGCCTATCTACTGAATCAGAATCTCTGGATACAGGGCTCAGAAACCTGCATTTTAGTAAGGTCTCCAGTGATTGTTAAGAGCCTTAAAGCTTGTGAACCACAGACCTAAGTAATCAAGCAATATAGGGAACTATCAGTATATTTTTTTTCTATGAAACATTTAATTATTCATACTAGCCCTTTAGGATATTTGGAAAAACATAAATATTTATACTATTTTTAGACCATAAGTTACAAATGCTACGTAGAAGAGACACAATATTATGAAATTTTAGAAAAATACCTGCCACACCCCTAACAGGTAGGAGACGATACCAGTAAAAGGTAGAATGAGAGGATTTGGAACCGCTATTCTCATACTATTTCTTAAACATTGTATTTAATACTAAATATATTCAGTTTGAACCATATAGAATTGCCAATTTTGAAAGCCAGAAACAGTTGAATATCAGGAATGTAATATGGTTAAAACTTTATGCGCTTTCCAATTGAATGTGCAAAATACCATAATTTCATATTTTGTTTTTATTTCTGAGGCTGAGCTGTGAAAACCTGGTAATAATGATATCTGACTGGTAAAATTGTCGAAAGTAAGGAATTAGATACACTTGGTGCTTATGGATCAGATATGCAAGATAAATTTTCTCTCATATTTGATTGAATATTTGATTAAAATTACTAAGCTTAAAATGTTTACCAAGGAACAGTTTTCAGGAATTTTTGCTGGTTAGCTAAAGTAAAAGCTTTTGAGGAATGTTTCAGTCTACTAATTAAATATGAAGTCTTGAGTGCAACATAGAATCACATATTCAACAAATATTGAGAACCTATTCTATACTAAGCACTAAAATCAGAATTGCAGAGCTCGTAGAAAACCTTTCCCTCATTTTCCGATGAGGAAACTGAGTTTCCCAGGATCACACCATGAGCTAATAATATTGCTGGGATTTGATTCCAGGATTCTCTCTTCTAAATGCAGTGGGATTCTATATTTAAATACTAGCCACAGGCCAAACTACATTCTCTCACAGCAAAACCTAAAATAATTAAATAATTAAATAGCCTCCAAATTAATTTCATTTATTCATATATATAAATGGAGAATTTTTTAAAGTTAAAAAAAAAAGTTGCAACTTTTAAACCCGAAGGCACGCACTGAACCAAATTCTGCATTCATTCATTGAAAGTTGACTAAGCATCAGCACTTTTCTATGTGCTGGCAATGTAACACTTAAAATCCCTGATGGAGCATATAAGCTCATGGAGGAAATCCCACCATATTGCAATTTATGTTAATTTAGTATTAAGTAAAATTTTGTCTTCCCTAGATTATTTCAGGAAATACATTAATACTTTTAGGTCAAGATTTAAAGATAGCCTTCCTCTCTCTCCCATTGGATCAGTATAAAGATACTTTTAATCAGTTCCACGAGTACCTTAATCTCTGAATATCTTATCCCAAGGAGGTGGGTGCAGGTTTGTGGTCTCACTAAGACCTCAGTCTCTCAGCACCTAGGTAGATTCAGTGAGAAGACCCTTCTAGACAGAGTTTCAAATACCCTGTTAGAAAATTGCTACCTATTTTTAATCTTTTTAGGCTAGAACTGATGTTATTGAGTAAAAAAAAAAAAAAAAACAAAAAAAAAACAAAGCCTGTTACCACATGTAATCTAGTCCTACACCTGTAGAATAGTTGAAGAGATAGGGTCTAGATATAACTATATTCTAGAGCTTGGGAGTCTGCTAATGTCCATCCATGGTCAACAAATACCCACTGCTCTGATTATTAGCTATATCTCTTAATCTGCAGCCGAATTTGCCTGTGGCCAGTATTGGAATGCTGGGAGGTTTAGCACTGAGAAAAAAAAAGGTAAAATTTATTTGGCCTACTATTTCAGATACCCTAGATTTAATCTATCACATTACTCTTTCTATTATTATTTTATATGATGCTGTAATGTCCCGATGCTAGAGCAAAACTGCTACAGTATCAAGCTTATATTTTGATTTTATTTTTTAAAGATAGATAGATAGATTGATTTATGAAAAAGAGAGCCCATAGATGGGGGGCAGCGAGGAGGGTGGTGAGGGTGGAGAGGGAGAAGGAGTCTTAAGCAGACTCCTCTCTGAGCACACAGACTGATGCAGGGCTGGATCTCATGACCCTCAGATGATGACCTGAGCTGCAACCAAAGTCGGATGTTTAACCAACTGTACCACCCAGGCACCCCAAGCTTATATTTTTAAGTTATAGATTATTTAGCCGATCTTGGTTGGGAATTACATAATTAAAGTATTGACTCATCTATCAGTTTGCAGAATGGCTAGAAACTAAACTGCCTGGAGCCTTAAAATCCTCACTGGACTTAAATATCTGAAAATTTGTTCAGTGTCTTTTTGAAATAAAGTATTGGGCCATTGGATAAGCTAATGTTCAAGACTAAAATAATAGTGGCTTGAACAAGATAAAAATTTATTTTCCCTCTTATATGAGCTCAGTTTATTTTAAAATGACAATATTTACTCATTTTGAAAAAAAAAATTTCTCAAACTTAAAATATACTTCATTAGCGTCTAACTAGAAGTTGCAGAGTAACTCTGTGGTACACATACTGTGACTGGACCCACATTTTAAAATACCGTTCGCTGAAAAATACATAGCCACTCTAGGCCCATAGACTTCTATTTCAGGGTCAAAACACAGACACACAAATGCAGAACTTGGTATACATGGAGTCTATCCATGGAATAGGGTAGAAAGTTGGAAAGAGTGGCTTATGGACACAAAATCTTGATGGACAGGGACACTTGGGTGGCTCTGCGGTTGGGCATCTGCCTTCAGCTCGGGGTGTGATTCCAGGGTCCGGGGATCAAGTCGGGCTCCCTGTAAGGAGCCTGCTTCTCCCTCTGCCTAGGTCTCTGCCCCTCTGTCTGTGTCTCATGAATAAATAAATGAAATCTTTTTTTAAAAAAGTCTTGATGGACAAAAGAGATTATAACTCTTGAACTATACAAGAGATCTATTATCCCATAGTATTTGTTTACAGAAGTATTAGATGTATTGAAGAAATGCTATTTGCAAGTTAAAGACTCATGCTTTAAAATTTGTGGGTCTGATTATCACTGCTTTAAACTCTCAATGTCTTCTAAGTTACAAATACTAAGGCATCATGTTAGTTTTTAGGACAGATTTTAGGTTCTGGTGCATTAGATTTTCCCATCATCTAACAGAGCATTTCTAAATTCCAAAGGATTTTCCTGGATAGTGTGAACAAAATATTAGGAAGCTTTTTTCAACATTTAGAGGTCATTTATATAACGGAATTCTGTTATTTGGGACAGAGTTGGGAATCTAGAAGTTAAAGATTCTAAGCAGTCAAGATACAATTTGCTCCTAGGAGCTTCCCAGGCTTTCACTTAGGACTAGTTTTAGACCCAATTCTAAAAAGGTAGCTTGGTTCACAGCAAATTAGAAAGAAGAAATTAAAAGAGAATTGGGGAGGGAGAAATCAAGGAGATTCCAGAAAAGTAAAGAGCAACCTGCAACTATCCAGCCATATTCAGTCTACCTAGCAAATTGGAATAATGACAACCTTCATTTATTGCTTATGTTATACCAGGCAATGGGCTAAGTGTTTTGTAACTCATTATTTCGATCACAATATCCCTGTAACAAAGATATTTTTGTCCTCATCTTATACTGGCACAGAAGTTAAGTAACTTGCCTAAAGTCACATTGAGTATTTGAAGTATTATTTGAACCTAATATATAATTAAATATAAAATATATTTATAAAATACGTAATTAGGAGGCCTCTTTCTGAATTGCTAGCTATGTAGTTATGTTCTAATTTTAATTTCAGCTTTTCTACCCATACATAAAAATCATTCAGAGTAAATAGCTTGTTGTATCCTTGGCTTGGTAAACAATGAATTGGTAAGCTGGATCAGGAATTTTATATATTTGAAGTGAGAAAAGCACTAACTTTGGTGTTACAAATTGCGTATGTATAAATGCTGAGAATTTTCGGTTTATTAAGTCAAGGTATCTCAACAATGGCACCTTAACATTTTGGGTCAGATAATTAACTCTTTGTTGTGAGATGCTGTCCTGTGCAATGCAGGATATTTAGCAGCATCCCAAGCCTCTACCCATTAGCTGCCATTGGCAACTCCATCCCCAGTTGTGACAACCAGAAATGTCTCCAGACATTGCTAAATGTTCCCTGCAGAGCAACAGTGTCCTTAGTGGAGAATCACTGGTTTAAGTAAAAGAGCTCATATAAGTGAAGCCTATTTTAATTTTTTAGAATAGATAATGACAAACTTAAAAGAGACTTTAATCAATTCCTTATTTGACAGTTTAGGGGACTGAAGTGGGCAAGACAGAGGGAGAGGGAGAGGGAGAATCTTAAGTAGATTCTATGTGGGGCTCAATCCCACAACCCTGAGATCATGACCTGAGACGAAATCAAGAATTGGACCCTTAATGGACTGAGCCATCCAGGCACCCTAACAGTGGCTGTACTGTACTACATATCCAAAAAAATGTATACGCCTTCCTATTCCTCCACATTCCTCCCAAACTTGTTTTCCTTTTTTTTTTTTTAAATATAGCCATCTTAGTCTATGTGAGGAAGGTGATATCATATATTGTGGCTTTAATTTGCATTTCCTCAATGACCAATGAAGTTGGCCATCTTTTTCACATGCTTGTAGCTATTTGTATTGCTTGTACTATTTGTATATATTCTTTGGGGAAATACCTTTTTAAGTCTATTGCTCATTTTTTACTGGATTGTCTTTGTTACTGTGTTGTACAAGTTCTTTATATATTCTGGATATTAAACTCTTATCAGATATATTATTTGCCCATGTTTCTCCTGTTCTGTGAGTTGTCTTTATAATGTCCTTTGATGCACAAAAGTTTTTAATTTTGGTGAAATCCAGTTTATCTATCTTTTTGTTGCTTATCTTTTGGTGTCAAACTAAGAACCACTGCCAAATTCAAGGTAAAAAATATTTAATCCTCTATTTTATAGTTTTAGCTCTTTATTTAGGTTGTTGGTCAATTCTGAGTTAATTTTTGTATGGCCATACCACTGAGATATTGTGGGTTCATTTCCAGACCAACACAATAAAGTCAAATGAATTTTTTGTTACCCAGTACATATAAAAGTTAGGTTTACATTATACTGTAGTCTATCAAATGTGCAATAGCATTATGACTAAAAAAACAATGTACATACCTTCATTAAAAAATACTTTATTGCTAAAAATGCCAAGCATCATGTATGCTTTCAGCAAGTAATATTTTGTTGGTGGAGGGTCTTGCCTCAGTGTTAATGGCTACTGACCCATCAGGGTGGTGGTTGCTGCAGGTGGCTATGGTGATCTTTTAAAGTTTAAGACAATGTTATTTGCCACGTCCATTTACTCTTCCTTTCACAACTGATTTCTCTGCAGCATGCAAAGTTCTTTGATAGCATTGTACATACAGCCAATTTTCTTTCAGGATTGGAGTCAAGCCTCTCAAAACCTACCACTGCTTTATTAACTAAGTTTGTGTCACATTCTTTTTAAAAAATATTTATTTATTATGAGACAGAGAAAGAGAGAGGCAGAGACACAGGCAGAGGGAGAAGCAGGCTCCATGCAGGGAGGCTGATGTGGGACTCGATCCCAGGATCCTGGGATCACGATCTGAGCTGAAGGCAGAAGCTCAACCCCTGAGCGACCCAGGCGTCCCTTGTGTCACATTCTAAATCCTTTGTTTTCATCGCAACAATTCTCACAGTATATTGACTAGGAGTAGATGGGATCTATTCCTAGTAACTCAAGGAGTCACTTTTTTTGTATCCATAAGAAGTAACTTATCTGTTATAGTTTGATCATACGATTATAGCAAGTCAGTCACATCTTCAGGCTCTACTTCTAATTCTAGTTTTCTTGATATTTCTACCACATCTCTAGTTACTTCATTCACTGAGGCCTTATATCCTTCAATATCATCAGTTAAGGTTGTAATCAACTTCTTCCAAGCTCCTTTTAATGTTGATATTTTAACCTCTTCCCATGAATCACAAATAGTCTTAATGACACCTAAAATGGTGAATACTTTCCAAGAGGTTTTCAAATTACGTTGCCCAGATCCATCAAAGAATCACTACTTATGGCTGCTAGAGCCTTAGGAAATGTATTTCTTAAATAATAAGACTTGAAAGTTAAAAATACTCCTTCATCTGTGGGCTGAGGAATGAATGTTGTGCTAGGCATGAAAACAACATTAATCACATTGTACATCTCTATCAGAGCTCTTAAGCAACCAGGTGCATCGTCAATGAACAGTAATATTTTGAAAGACATTCTTTTTTTCTGAGCAGTAGGTCTCAACAGAGGGCTTAAAATATATTCAGTAGATCATGTTATAACCAGATGTACTTTCATCCAGACTGTTGTTATATTTATAAAGCACAGGCAGGGTAGAGTTAGCATAATTCTTAAGAGCCCTACAAACTAGAATGGTAAGTGAGCATTGGCTTCAACTTAAAGTCAGTAGCTTCATTAGACCTTAAGAAAGTCAGCCTGCTTTTGGAAGCTTTTGAAGCCAGGCATTGACTTATAGCTGTGAAAGTCCTAGAAGGCATCTTCTTCCAATAGAAGGCTGTTTCAACTGCAGTGAAAATCTGTTGTTTAGTGTAGCCACCTTCATTAATTAGTTGGATCTTCTGGATATCTTGTGGCTTCACTTTATACTTTTGTTATGGAGATAGATTATTATACCTCAAGATTTTGTACTGAAGCTTCCTCACCCCTCTCAGCCTTCACAGAACTGAAGAGAGTTTAGGGCCTTGTTCTGGATTAGGGTTTGGTTTAAGGGAATGTTGTGTCTGATGTAATCTACCCAGACCACTAAAATTTCCTCTATTTCAGCAATAAGACTGCTTTTCTTTCTTGTTCATGTGTTCACTGGAGTAGAACTTTTAATTTCTTTCAAGAACTTTTTCTTTGTATTTACAACTTGGCTGTCTGGCTCTAGAACCCCAGCTTTCAGCTTATGTTGTCTGTTCAACATGCCTTCCTCACTGAGCTCAATCATCTCTAGTTTTTGATTTAAGGTGAGAGACATGTGACTCCTCCTTTCACGTGAACACTTAGAGGACATTGTAGAGTTAGTAATTGGTGTAATTTCAATATCGTTATGTTTCAGGAAACAGGGATGCCTAGGGAGAGGGACAGAGATGGAAGAATGGCTGGTTGGTGGACTAATCAGAACGCATACCTTTATTAAGTTTGTTGTCATATATGGGCATGGTTCATCATGCCCCCAAAATAATTACATCAAAGATCACTGATCGCAGATCTAAATAACAAATAATGAAAAAGATTGAAATATTCCAAGAATTACCAAAATGTGACAGAGACACAAAATGAGCAAATGCTGCTGGGAAAATAACACTGATATATTTGCTTGACATAGAATTGCCACAAATCTTCAATTTGTAAAAAACACACTATCTGTGAAATGCAATAAAGCAAAGTGCAACAAAATGAAGTATGCCTGCAGATGGAGTAAAGTAGGCATCTAAATTCATTCTTTTGCATATGGTTATCCAGATAGCCCAGCACCATCTGTTAAAGAGACTATTTTTTTCCACATTGAATGGTCTTGGAATCCTTGTCAAAAATCAACTGGCCATAGATATTTTGGTTTCTTTCTGGGCTATTGTTTCCATTGGTCTTTATGTCTATCCTTATGTTTGAAAGCATTCATGATCAGACATCCTTTTGCTCCCTGTAAAGAGGAGGGTTCATTTTCTTTTTCCTTCCGTCTTTAGCCAAATTTCTGCAAAAGCTCAACTTATAAGAGGGATGAAGGTATAGACAATATTTTTGATAATTAGCTTGAGAACAGGAAAGAAGGCTCTAATTGGTCTCTTTCATTTCCTATGGACTGGCAACTATTAGCAGGTAAAGAATAAGGAAATATATATATATATATATATATATATATATATATATATATATATATACACACACACACATTTATATGTGTGTGTGTGTGTGTGTAACTGTGGTGTGGAAGAGGTTTGGAGAAAAACTAGGTATATAGTTCTGAAACATTCAGGAAAAGAGCATAAGGAATTACTTCAAGTAAGTTAGAGGAAGTACCTGGGAGAAAAGACCTAATGTTTGAATTCATTAGATACCAAAAGTGGAAGAAAAAACAAGTTACTGAAGGGAAAGAAAACATAGTTTTCTCTTGACCTCGGGGACTTTCAGCACCCAGATGAGTTTGAAAAAACTAGGGCTAATGTATCTTTATCTAGAGAAAAATAATACACTTTCTCTAAATTTAACCAATAAATCCATTATTTGGTTTGAATTTTCTCAATTTGTGGTCATTCTCCATTTCTTCTTAATCCTTAGGTAGGAAAAGCAACTTTCTCTCCTTTCTTTTGCACATCATTTGAGTTGGCTCTAAACCTCTTCACAGCTCATTTTTGATTGGAGTGCCCTTCTCATCTATTCTAATAAGCTATATCACTCCTCTCTTTGTCTCATATATTCAGGGTATTTTGTGTCTGTAAATATCTGACTCAGACCTTGACTGAAGTAAAGAAAACATGTATTTCAAAGCTGAATCTGTAACAAACCTCTTTAAAGCACTGTCCATTCATTACAATATAATAGCCAAAGAGTTTGTGAATATTATAACCGATTTTGTTCAGTTTTAAAAGATTTTATTTTAGAGAATGGGAGAAAGGGCAGAGGGAGTGGGAGAATCCCAAGCAGACCCCTAACACCCCCACCCCCCACCCCCCCTGCTGAACGTGGAGCTCAACGCAATCTCAGGACCCAAGATCATTCCAGCAGGAATCGGAGTCCTACGCTCAATTGACTGAGTCAGCCCGGCACTCCTGTTCCAAATTATTTATTTTAAAGATTTTATTCATTCATTCATGAGAGATACAGAGAGGCAGAAACATAGGCAGAGGGAGAAAGAAGAAGGCTCCCTGTGGGGAGCCCAATGCAGGACCCCATCCCAGCACCCTAGGATCAAGAACTGAGCCAAAGGCAGACGCTCAACCACTGAGCCACCCAGGTGTCCCTAAGCAATTTATATCCATATTTGTTTCTTTTTTCACTCCCCTTTTTTGCACTTATTAAAGTGTAAATTCCTTTCATTAACTTGAACCATTAATTTAGGAACCTGACCCACAACACTTCCTTCATATTATGCCTATTCTCTGGGGATGTGTTTAAAAAAACAAAACACATAACAAACAAAACCCATTTTTATTGTTTAACACCCAGATAGATGAGTACCAGGCACAGAGTATGTACTCAATAATTATTTGGTGTCTGAAGGAGTGACATTTATAAAAGCAATACTGATATGTGGAATAAAAAAAAAAAACCCACATTTGAATTACTAGCAGCTATTTAACTATGCCAGTCCTTTCTTGTTTCAACACAGAGGAACACGAATTGAGGGCTTAAATCTTTAATTCTGGAAGATTCAACACTGCGTCTTAAAGAATTCATTAGCTGAACTTAAGCACCCAGATCTCGCTCTACAGTTCTTCAATCAGAAAAGTCAACCACCTCCAACTTTTAGTTTGTAAACATTCTCTGGCCAGCTTTTTGCTCACCCAACTGGAATCCACTTCAGCCCTTTTCGTTCAACCATCACTACACAACACGCCCTCCCCCCCCCCCCCCGCCCCCGGTTTCTTCTTAGCCCCAAACCACACGCAAACCAACCAGGAAACCACAATTCCTCCAGCGTCTTGGAGAGTGCAGCCCCAACCAGGAGGCCGTAAGACGCGTTTTTAACCACTCGGCTTCCCTCCTCTAGCCTGATAAGGTTGTCCGGACAGTATTTTGCTCTCGCAGGACGCGCCTGTCGTCTCGTAGCCGACCACAGTAGCGCCCCGCCGGTTCAGCCACCGAAAACTACAGACACCGCCTTCCTCTTCCTCCCCGCGCCCCCGAGTACTCGGCCAGCGCGCCGGGGCCTCCAGAAGCCCCGCCCCGCGGCCCTAGCGCCGCAGTGCGCGCATGCCCGGTGCGCGCCGTCTGCCCGAGCGCGGCGCCCGTGCGCCTCGGTTCCCCGTGGCCGCGGCGCGCGGCGCGCGGCGTGCGGCGTGCGGCTGGCTCCCTCCCCCGACGCGCCCCGCCCGGTCGTTTGCGGGCGCGCGCACCTCCTCGGACGGGTGGGCCCCGGGGTCGGGAGGCTCCGAGCCAAAGTCGATTGGCTGACGTAGCGGCCGCGCGTCGGGCCTCAGAAACTCTGGGCGAGCGCCGAGAGTCGGCTCTCCCGGCAGCGCCAGGCGCATCTCAGGTAAACAGGTAGGCTGGGAGCCTTGGGCGACCGGAGAGAAGGACGGGTGGGCTTAGGTCCAGCCCTGGAATTTTCGGCCGCAGCCTCCCTGGAGCAGAAGGGGCTGCGCGCAATCTGCACCCGGTGAATGTTGACCCCGTCTGGCTCACGCGAAGGTCAGCGTCGTGGGAGCCGCAGGTCCTCTTTCTGGGCATAATGCCGGCATCCTTCCGTTTCTTGGGACAAAAGTTCAGTAGCTGAGCCTTTACGGAAGGGTGTAGGGTTTTGTTTGCTTTCCCCTTACGTGGCGGTTAGTTGGAGAGTTCAGGTCCTGGCTCAGTCTAGGATTGACTGTGTGTCCTTGAGAGTCAGTCATTGTGTTTCAGCTCGCACGCACCCTGTAAGGTTCAGCAAAGAATGCGATGCTGCTTTAGGCACAGAGAGCCCTGCTGTACGAGGATAGTATTTGAATTTCTGGGTTCACAGTGTCTCTGAGCCCAAATTTCTCTGGAAGGTGACGCCACCGAATAGTATTTGTGAAGTTTTTTTTAAGCTCCAGGGATGGAAGGAACTAGATAAACACAAGGTAGCTGCCTTATTAAGCAGGATGGTAGAAAGAAAGAAAGAAAGAAAAAAAAGATTCACAGGACAGGCTTTTTGGAAAACATCCTTTGAACGTTTTATGCAGATTAAATCACTGTGGCAGTAAACAAAAGTAAACCAACACAAAGAGCCAAACAAGACCACATTTCAAGCCCCCCCCCCCCCCCGTAACTTTGACATACTACCATAAATTACTGGCTTTTCAAAGTTTCTCCTTGGGATTTAGTGTGGTGCTGAACACAAATGACAGTTACGTGCCCATTTGGCTGTCCTGTGCAATAGTATACCAAGAAAATTAATCAAAACAAAGCTGACGCCTCTATAAGATAACAAGATACTCCATTGGTGAGAAGTAATGATGGCAAGTCAGAAAAATACAAGGGAGGAGGTGTACACAATTTTCTTTTAAAGGCATAGGTTTTGTAAAAATCTTTTTAGTATATTAATTTTTAAGGTATAATAGAGAAAACCATATAAATCATAAGTGTATAGCTCATTTTAATTTTCACAAAGCCCATACATATTCATGTATCCAGTACCTAGATCAAGAAGGACCATTACTTACTCTTAGAAACCCCACTTTGCGTGACCCATTTCCAAAGGTGACTGTTATGTCTGTTTCTAAGGTCATCTATGAATTTACCTATTCTTGTCTTTATGTAAATGGAATCATACAGTAAATAGTCATTTGAGTCTCACTTTTGCTCAATATTTGTGAGATTTGTACAAGTTCTGTAACAGTACTTTTTTTTAAGATTTTTAAAAAATTTTTTTAAAGATTTTGTTTATTCATAGAGATGCAGAGAGAGAGAGAGAGAAAGAGAGAGAGAGAGAGAGAGAGAGAGAGGCAGGCAGAGACACAGGCAGAGGGAAAAGTAGGCTCCATGCAGAAAGCCTGACGCGGGACTCGATCTAGGGTCTCCAGGATCACCCCTGGGCTGCAGGTGGCGCTAAACAGCTGCGCCACCGGGGCTGCCCCCCCCCTTTTTTTTTTAAGATTTTTTTAAAATTTATTTATTCGTGAGAGAGACAGAGAGAGAGAGACAGGCAGAGGGAGAAGCAGGCTCCACGCAGGGAGCCGGTGGTGGGGACCTGATCTCAGGACTCCAGGATCACTCCCTGGGCCAAAGGCAGGCGCTAAACTGCTGAGCCACCCAGGGATTCCCCCTGTAGCAGTAGTTCTTATGCTGCATAATATTCCATCTAGTTCCTTGTTGTTATGAATAGGGTTTCTATGAATTTATAAGTACCGTTGACCCTTGAACAACATGCATTTGGACTGTAGGGGTCCACTTATGTGTGGATTTTTTTTCAATAAGTACAGTACACTACTGTAAATATATATTTTTTCTTCCTTGTGATTTTCTGAATATTTTCTTTTCTTCAGCTTATTTTATTGTAAGAATGTAGTTATATAATACATATACAAAATTTGTATAAATAGACTGTGTTATTGATAGGCTTCCAGTCAACAGTAGGCTACTAGTTAAAGTTTTAGGGAGTCATAAGTTAAACTTGGATTTTTGGCTGTGTGGGGTTGGTGCTTCTAACTCCTGTTTATTTAAGGGTCAATTGTGTTTTGGTGAATATATGTGTACATTTCTGTTGGCTATACATATACCTATTGGTGAAATAGTTATAGGGTATGCAGGTATGTATTTTTGGTATACAATACCAGAAAAAATTTTCAGATTAGTTGTGTCAACACTCCTGTTAGCGTCGCTTGAGAATTCTGACTCTTCCAAATTCTTGCAACATTTAGTGTTGTCTTTTTCAATTTAACTATTCAGGTGGATTTATAGTGATATCATATTGGCGTTTTCCCCCTCATTTTCCCGAATAATATTTAACACCTCTTCATATGTTTATTGATCATTTAGATATCCTCTATTTCAGGGGTTGTTAAGTTTTTCTACAAGGGGCCAGATAGTAAATATAGGCAGTCCTTGCTTTGTAGAGTTTCATTTAATGCAGTAGTGTCTAAAGCTAGGACTGCTTGTATTTTAGGCTTTGCAGATCATATACAGCCTCTGTTGTATTTTCTTCTTTCTTCCTTTCCTTGTTTCTTGTTTCTTTTCTTTAATTTTTTCTTTCCCTTTCGCCTGCCTGCTTGTTTGCTTGCCTTCCCTCCTTTTCTTCCTCTGTCCCTTCCCCTCTTTTTTATTCTTATTTCATAGATTGCTAACTCCTACTTTGTTGAGAAATGACTGTTCCAAAATGACAGTTCAGGAACACCGGGATGGCTCAGTCAGTTAAGTGTCCAGATCTTGATGTTGGCTCAGGTCATGATCTCAGGGTGGTGAGATCAAAACCCCAGGTCAGGCTGCCACTCAGCAGAGTCCATTCAAGATTCTCTCCCTCCCTCTGCCCCTCCCCTGCAGATGCGCTTGCTTGCCTTGCTCTTTATCTCAAATAAATCTTTTTAAAAAATGATAGTTCAATCTTTAGCCCAATGGTGGTAGTGAAATTATTTTATTATTATTGTTGTTGTTTTTGTTTTATGGTGAAAAATTTATGTTTAGGTTTATAGCTGGCTGGACTCAGTTTAGATGATCCCAATTTTGTTGGCAACATCCAAAGCATCATAGTCAGGAGCCAGTCAAACATATGCTTTCTTCTCTCCATCAGGCTTGATCAAGGTGTTGACCTTGGCCACATCGATGTCCTAGAGCTTCTTCACAGCCTGTTTGATCTGGTGCTTATTGGCCCTGACATCCACAATGAACACAAGGGTGTTGTCTTCTATTTTCTTCATGGCTGACTCAGTAGTCAGGGGGAACTTGATGATGGCATAGGGATCAAGCTTGTTTCTCCTGGGGGTGCTCTTTCGAGGATATTTGGGCTGCCTTCGGAGACCTACGGTCTTGGGTCATCAGAATGTAGGTGACTTGCGGATCTTCCTTTTTTTTTTTTTTTTTTTTTGGTGACTGTATACCTTTCAGCACCGCTTTCTTAGCTTTCAGAGCCTTTGCTTTGGCTTCGACTTTGGGAGGGGCAGGGGCTTCCTTCTTCGCCTTCGGCGCCATCTTCGTGAAAGGCGGTAGTGAAATTATTAATTGAGAGGGGCTACATTGAAAAAAAATCTAAATACCTAATAGGGTTAAATATTAAGTGTGTGCTCTAGTGTTTTGAGGTTAAATAATAGTATTAATGCAGCACATGCTATAGCGTTTTGGAGTTAAATTTGGAATCTCTAAGCATACTTACTTTGTTCTTACCAGTTTTACCTCAAGGCTAGTTAGAGAGCTGTTTCAGGCTTCTTTATACTGTTCTGATTACTCCTTTTACCTATCCCTTTAAAACTGAAGAACAAAAGAGAGGTAAGAGGTGAGAAAAAGGAGATACACCCCTTTTCTGATATTGTGTAAAAGGCTAGGAAGGGATGAATATCTAAATAGTTCTGGACACTTTGAGTAAAATAAAAGTATAAAAAGCATAAAATCCTTTTGTAATATTTTGAGATACTGTCATTTGAGGTGTTCCAATGTGGGATGGCTTGATTAAAATTTATATCTATCTGAGTACATCAATGATTTGGGTCATGAAAGCTGTGGCCTCCCTGCCGATGGTGGAGGTCCTTTCTGTTCTAGGTGCTCCATTGGGCTGTCCAGTTCATCTTCTTTTACTTGGGGTTTCCTGCCTTTCACTGAGTACCAAAAATATCAAAAAAAAAAAAAACCTTTTGAAAGTGTCAAAAACTTTCTTTGACTACTATTTCAGCCTAGGTTAACATTTTTAGCTAACAATTTCTTTTTTCACAGATGGTTTATAGAAGTGAATTTAGGAATGTATTTAGATATATGCTAATACTAATGAGAGATTTAGGGGTAATCTCCATCAACTTGATCTCTTCTTTGATTATAGGTAATTGAGTTTGGGTCATTCTTACTTGATTGTTATGCAAACACAGATTTACAATAAACCACTTAGGCCTAGCTTCTACTACCAGCCACTGTTGTCCTTAAGTATCTCTCACATAGAAATTCTGGATCTGGGGCAGCCCTGGTGGCTCAGCGATTTAGCGCCACCTTATTCCAGTTCCCTTTCTGTTATGCTATTTGTGAGAGCCAGCCTTCTAAGATAACCCTGGTATCCATCCTCTTGTGTAATCCTCTTCCATTGAGGGTAGACTACCTAGAGGCTCACTCCTAATAGGATATGATGAAAGTTAAGAGATCATGTTACAGTAGATGTAATTTCCTTTTTGCTGGCCCTTTCTTGCTTGCTCACTTGGATGAAACCACCTGCTATATCATGAACTCACCTATAGGTGAAGGACCCACCTGTCACGGAATTGAGGGTAGCCTTTGACCAGTAGCCCACAGAGAAAGTTTCTTAACACCCTGAGAACTAAATCCTGCCAACAACCACCGAGTAAATTTAGAAGATCTTGCTCAGTTAAACCTTAAAAGGGCTGTAGCCCTGC